GGCCTATTTCAGCAATCTTGTACTTTCGCTCCAGCTCACGTTTGTGGTGTTCTTTTAACATTCTGCCATGTAACAGTGCTGTCACTACTTAGATCCCGTCTCATTTATTATTATTATTATTATTATTATTATTATTATCATTATTGTTATTGTTATTATTTCTAATGCTTTTACTGTCTTACAAAAGTCACTTACAATACATTAAAAAAACTATTTACAATGCCTGACATTACCATATTTACTTACAACACGCAATAATTACTTATTATGACTTACACATTACATTACTTAAGGAGTTACAATACAATGCAATTACTTAATAATTTATAGAAAAAAACATCCAACAAACAAACAAAAAAAAATCGCAACAAATTACTAAGGGAAATGCCTTAAATGGTGAGAGGGAATTTCCACTTCTGTTGAAGTTCCCATTCACCATTCAAGGTGGCAGCAATGTATTTTTCTATCTCGATTTTATCCTGCACTAATGAGATAAAGTCGCTGAAAACAAACATAGTATTATTTAGCGCATTGATATAAAGAAAGTATTTGCCTAGCAGTGTGAGGTGGTTGAGAGTCAAACGGTGAGTACAGGGACAAGTAATTCCAAATAATACCTCTGGCTCGGAGAGGAGTAAACTCGCGTTACTTACGGTAGAATACCAGCTTTGGAACTTATACCAAAAGGAAGACACTTGCAGGCAGCTAATAAACAAATGACGTATGTTTTGACTATCAGAGGGGCAGATAGGGCAGGATGGGGAGGCAACCTTGTTCATTTTGTATAATATACTGTTTGTGGCTAAAATGTTGTGTATAATTTTGTGCTGGAATATTGCCAATTTAACTTATTTTGTGGCTGTGAACGGCAGAAGATAAATTTTATTTAGATTCTCCTTTGCAATACTTTATGATAAGAGTTTTTTCTGAAGTGGGATGAGGAAGATTTTCTAAGGTTAACAGTTTGTCGTATAACATCTTGCACACTATAGTACAGATTGGCGGCGGGGGTGTAGTAGAGTCGCCAGAATTAACATGAAGGAGCTTCTTCCAACTTTGAGGGATCGTGGATATAAGACCATGATATTGTAAAAAGTTGCAATTTAGCGTGTATTTATTGTGCAAGGAAAGGAAAGGCAGGAAGCGATTTTCATGCTCGTCAAAAAGGTCTGAAATTTGCTTTATGTCTGCTCAGTGCCAATGATGGGAGATAATCCTGATGATATCATTATTAAACTGAATTGTCTCTTCGAAGAGATCTGTATTTGGTGCAGACTCAATAAGCTGACTTTGCATCCTGGAAAGTCTGAAGTAATGAGTATGCAATGAGATCAGTTTGTGGGCCCACTGTTGCTTGTGAAGTGTGGGGATACACAAATTGACTACACAACCAAAACAAAATTAGTGGGTGCGGTCATCGACAACAAACTGACATGTAGAGATCAGCTGGAGAAGACACATATGTCACTCAGCAGTCAGTATCGTGTGCTGAAGAAAATGCGATACCTTCCACCCAAACTACTAGTCAGAAGCATTTTACTTAAGACTGATTCCACAAATAACATATTGCATATCTGTCTGGGGCAACTGTTCTGTTGCTAGGCTATATGAAATTAAGAACTTACATATTAAAATAGGTAGTTTTATTCACAGAGTTTCTCAGAATGTTTTGGAAAGCAGAGTTTGCGTGTTATGGGAAAGGCACAGTAAGCAAGAATGTTGGAGTGGGAACTTTTAATGGATCGGAAAATCTGCCCAGGAAAAAGAAAATTGATACTGGGCAGGACAGTGCTTCAGTATCATCATCATAATGATTTAGGGAAACAATCAATTCTAACATTAATATTTCACATTAATATAATTAATTCTAACATTATACTTTCTGTCATTTGCCTGCACACAGCTAAACCTCCAGTTTTTGGACCATGTAAATTACTGGATTTTGAGCTTGAAATGGTAGGTCCTAAAAAAATGTCCTAATTAATATGTAGCCAGTACTGGAACAGAGCTTGATGTACATCATGCATGATAGATGGCAGTGTACTAGTTAACAAATAGATTCCATGTTGTCGTACGTCTGTTCAATAATAGATCACAGATGATGTCAAAATGTGGTAAGAACAAAAAAGTGGCACATGAGGCGATAGCCGAGTATGTCACTGATGTTCTTACCACGTTTTGAAAGGCAAGAACCAATCAAAATGTGAGAATAACTTGGGTTATTATATAAAACTAAATATGCTTGGAGTAAACTTTGAGAATAAACTGCTATGCAATAACAATATCACCCATAACATCTTTGATATAGACAATATGTCTGAATACATGTATATAAAATTGTCTGCCATAAATGCCGCCACATTAATCTTGGGAAAGCAGCTCATGGTTATCTTTTCTTTTTTGCTAATTTCACTTGCAAACCTTCACTCTTAACAGTGCTTTTAAGATTTGAATCAACTCGACCTTCATGTAAAACGTTTTCACATTTACAGGTTATGTTTTAGAAAAGGCCCATTTGTAAAATTATGGAACAGGCTCCCAAGCAAACGAACATACCTAAGATGAACCTGGAAACTCCAATGGATGAGCAATGCCAAAGCTGCTATGCAATAATTAATGAATTAGGTTTTTTATTTATAATTTTTGTTTCGTTTTATTATTTTTTTTTGTCAAGTATTTTTATGAAACTTGTAAAAAGACCAATAATTTCTTTAAATTATTCTGAGGTTTTGAAATTTGTAAATAGGCTAAATTTATTTTTAAATTTGTCTTAGGTTTTGCAACTTGTAAATAGATCAATTTTTAAATTATTCTTAGGTTTTGTAATTTTTTTTAGGTAGGCGTCCTCTATTAGTAGAGGGTTATTCATTGATTAAAACAATTTTGACACATTAATTAAAGTTATTATTATTATTATTATTATTATTATTATTATGTTATTATTATAAATATACACTATATCTATATACAGTGTTCCAGACTGGAACTTGTGCTGTATGTTCTAAATGTCAACAAACTCCATGCAGATCAAGTTTGACTTGCTGATGATTAAAATCAGCTGTCTGTTTAATTACATGCTACTTAGCTAAGATATTTTTCCATGTAAAGAACAGTTATGGTATATTCTATTTATGTTTCTGGGTTGAGGCCTATTTGGGGTTCAGAGTTCTGTTTTCTGCTGATTCCAAATAATTTTGATCTTGGCTGTTTCTAAAGTTCACAAACATAATCATATTAAATTAAGCATGTATCCTTTTGGGAGGGGGAAGGGCAAATGTTGTCCATCCCCAGACACCTGAAAAAGGAGATTCATGATGAGATTAGCTTAATTTCGTTCTTGTAGCCTGAAATGCAGAGAACATTTTCTCTTGCAATTGGTTATCGAACCATTTAGATATGTCCAGAACAAATAAATAATTAATTACAAAAAATCAACCCCATCGCCAGCTGAGCCTTCATATCCAGGGTTGCGTGACTGGATACAGGGATGTCACTTACTCAACCAGAAGTAATGTGATCAACTGTGGCTGCCAGCTGACATGATTAATAGATAGTAACATGATGATCACACTTGGAAATAAGGGTTTGTCCGCTTTGTCCGCTTTGTCCATCTATCATGCTTTTTTTTAAATTAACACACAACAAAACACTGTTGAAAACTACTTACAATTTAAACTTCTACGTACAAAAATAATGCTAATACAATACTCATTATATAATAACCCAAGTTATTCTCGCATTTTGATTAGTTCTCGCCTATGATCTATTAGAGGACAGACGCACGATTGACGTCATCATTAGAAAGTATTTCCCTCTGTGTTTTAAAATGGCGGAATGTTTTGAGAATTTAGATAATATTTTACGTGACTGGACAAAAGATAAGGTACAAGAAAGTCTTGTCCAGGCATTGAACAGGTACCAGAAGCATAGTCTAGCAGGAGGAAGAAAGATGAAGCCGTTTCTGTTTTAGAAAATGACTCGGAAAAAATACTCGAGCAGTCTCAGTCGGTAGTCGAGCGCGACTAAACCAAAAACAAAATTGGTCTTGGTAAGCCGAGAACCATTGCTTTATCTGGAATTTAACAAACCCAATAAACAAAATGTTTATGAGATTAATTCATTTAAAAAA